GAATATCTTTCTAAATGACTCAAACCAAAATGTCATGAAGCAAAGTTTTACATATTTTACTGCACAAAAGTGTTTTAAAACATTCTTATACAGAAAAAAAGCATAAAGTTAAGTTGTGGTTAAAACACTTGCTTTTTAAAAATGAAATATCTCAATATTTTAAAGCAACAAATTGAGAAAAAAGATTTTGCAATATCTCTAATAGGTGAAAGGCTATTCAACACAAAGAAGTCCTGCATATTAGAAAGCTAAAGAAAAATAACCCAATATAAAAACAGTAAGGGATAGCAACAAATCATTAAGAAAGGATGGACTACAAGTGGCAATAAACATATGATAAATGTGCAACTGCAAGAAAGTTGGGCAAATGTAAATCAAAACAGTAATTAACTATGATTTTCTCATCCATCAGAATGCCACACATTAAAAAGTCTAACAATATCCAGTGTGGAAGTAGGAGCACAGATAGGGGCAAGCCTTTTCTTGAGCAATCACAAGTATCAATGAAAAATTTTAATGAGCTAACCTTTAACCAAGCAAGAACATGAATGTCTAGCCACATTCAAGGACACTTAGGGCTGTCAGCAGCTCAGCAGTTTTGAAGATGTTTCCCAGTGGTTAAACTTAGGGTTTAGTGTTGTGGAGATGGTGCCGCTAAGAGCAAGGCTAATTCTTGGTAGACCATCTCAAAATCAGAGAGACTACAAGAAGCCTTTGTACAGATGGGGACTTTCATACAGAAAGTCAATGGGAGCCCCCTCAAGTCAGGCTCCCTGCAAAAGCTGCTGGCCAGCATTGGGCTAATGCCACCTAGACACTCACACAGGTCTCTCCTACAGAAGATACTATAAAGAAAGGTCAGCGCAGAGACACCATGGTGTCTCGAAACCTCAGTCCGCCTTCTGAGCTGAGAAGCTGAGCTTGGGAGCTGGGCTGCTATGGTCAATTGACATGTGAAAATTACAAGTGAAAATCACAATGATGTGAGGAGGGGTACTGGAAAATTGTAAAATTACTGCATAGCTTTCTTAATACTGGGATAAAATATGCAAAACAAACTTCATGGTTGTAACTATTTTTAAATATGTGATGCGGCAGCCACTTTACTACCTTCACCATGTTGTCAACCACCACAGCATCTAGTCCCAGAACTTTTTGATAACCCCGAAAGTAGATCCAGGATCATGTACACAAGGCAGTCCTCTTTGAATTAATAGCGTGAGAGAAAATATAAAGATATAAAATGATTTTAAATAATGTTGAATATGCAAATGAGAAATGCTCAAAATCCATTGAACTGGATGCATAGAGGGAGCCATGTGCGGAGGGAGCCACGCGCGGAGGGAGCCACACGCGGAGGGAGCCACACGCGGAGGGAGCCAATGTAGTGGTCACATAACTGGCCTCAGAGAACACTCGACGCCATTTTCTCTTTAGACGGTGAACAGGTTGCGGCTATGGCGGACGCTCCGGAGGTCCCTGCCGTTAGTGAAGAAGCCAAGCCTGATGCGGACACTTTGCAGGTGCTACGGGACCTGGCCAATCGTTTGCGCATCCACTCCATCAAGGCCACGTGCACCTCAAGCTCTGGGTGAGTTGCCTTCATCGAAGCCGAGTTGGCGCCAAGCAGCAGGCCGCTGTCATGAAGGGTTTGGGGTGAAGGGAAGCGTTGGAGCTGGGTGGGCTTGGTCATAGAGGCCCAATTTTGGATTACTGGGTCTTGAATTCTATCCTCAGACGCTGGCTAAGTGTGTCCACCGCTGGTTCACTTAGTGGCCCCTCACCCATCGCTGCCTTGCTGGTGGTCCCTGGTACCAACGTAGGCGCGTGAGCTAGCAGGGGACGGAGAACGCAGTCCCAGGCATCTGATCAGGCTAAGGTGGAATGGGAGAGCCCCACGTTTTCTGTTTAAGTGGTTGCCTTCAACGCCAGGGTCCCCAAACCCGGGCATGAGAATGTAAGGAAATCTAGCTCTGACTGGTTTGGTTCAGTTGGTTGGACGGCATTCCACAAAGCGAAAGGTCCCTGGTAAGATTCCTGGTCATGGCGCATGCTTATGTTGTGGGTCCTGTCCTCAGTTGGGGCACATATGAGGCGCAACTAAGCAACGTTTTTCTCTCACTTGATGTTTTTCTCCCTCTCTCTCCCCACATCCCTTTTCTCTAAAAAAAAATAAGTAAAATCTTTTAAGAACGAAATAAAAACCTAAAAGGGGGCTATTGGATCTGCTAGTATTTTGTTAAGGTTATTTACATCAGTAGTCATAAGAGATGTTAGAAGTTTTCTTGTGTTTTTCTGGCTTCAGTGTAAGGACAATGCTCACTCCAGAATAAGTTTCAAAGTGTTTCCCTTCAGTTTTTTTTAGAGCAGCAGTTCTCAACCGTTTTGGCATCAGGGGCCATTTTCTCGGAAGGCGGGAAGGAGGGGGAGGGGGAGGGGAAACAGGAAGTGGAGCTTCAGCGGTTTTGCCAACAAGCGGAAGTTTTGCTGGCTCAACCGCCGCTTACCTCCTGCTATGCGACCTGGTTCTTAATAGGCCACGGTCTGGTACCATCCGTGGCTGGAGGGTTGGGGACTCCTGTTTTAGAAGATTTTGAGGATTAATGTTTATATCAGGTCCAGTTTTTCTTTGAAAGGGGAGTTTTTAACTACTGATTTAATCTCCTTGTTATGGGTTTACTCCGATTTTCTGTTTTTTCATGAGTCCGTTTTGGGTGTTTCTAGAAATTCCTTCCAGGTTAGCCCATTTATTTTTTCATTATATTTTATTGTTTATGTTATTACAGTTCCAGTTTTTTACCTTTTCCTCCCCTACTCGGGCAGTCTACACACTGTTGTGCATGTCCATGGGTGATGCATATAGTTCTTCGGTTAATCCCTTCAACTTTCTCCATTCTCACAGCTGTTAGTCTATTCCATATTTCTAGGCTTCTGATTCTATTAATATTTGGCTTATTTGTTTTGTTTGTTAAATTGCACATAAAAAGCAAGATCATATAGTATTTGTCTTTCACTGACTGGTTTATTTCATTTAGCCTAATAGTCTACAGGTCCATCAATGTTGTCATAAAAAGTTCCTTTTTTTTTACCATGGAGTAATATTCCATTGTGTAAGCAGGGGTGTCCAACCTGTGGCTCGTGACATGCAGCCCAAAATGGTTGTGAATGTGGCCCAACACATAATCGTGAATTTACTTAAAACATCCTTGGTACTTATTTATCTTATGACTGGAAGTTTGTATTTTTTGACCATCTACCTCCAATTTCCTCTCCCCCAACCCCCACCATTAGTAGCCACAAATGTTATGATCTGTTTTTTATGAGTTTGTTTTTAGATTCCACATATAAGTGAGATTACATAGTATTTGCCTTTCTACATCTGATTTATTTCACTTAGCATGATGTCCTCAAGGTCCATCCATGTTATCACAAATGGTAAAATCTCCTTTATAACAGCTAAATAATAGTCCATTGTATGTATCTACCACATCATCTTTATCCATTCTGTGAACATTTAAGTTGTTTCCATGTCTTAGCTGTTGTAAATAATGCTGCTATGAACATAAGGGTGTCGTTATCTCTTTGACATAGTGTTTTCATTTCCTTTGGATATATTCCCAGAAGTGGAATGGCTGGATCATATGGTAGTTCTGTTTTTAATTTTTTGAAGGTCCTCTATAGTGGCTGCACAGAATCACATTCCCACTAACAGTGAACAAGAGTTCTCTTTTCCCTACATCCTCACCAACACCTATCTCTTGTCTGTCTTTATGATAACCATTCTAACATAATAGGAGGTGATATCTCATTGTGGGTTTGATTTGCATTTATTTTATGATTAGTAATGTACCTCCTTTTCTTGTACCTGTTGGCCATTTGAATAACTTTGGGAAAATGTCTATTCACATCCTTTGACCATTTTAATTGGAATATTTGGGGGGGTGCTATTGAGTTGTATGAGTTCTTCCTATATTTTAGATATTAACCCCTTACCAGATAAGCAACTATGTTTTTCATATGCCAGGTTGTGTTTTTCTTTTTTCTTTTGATGGTTTCCTTTTCTTTGCATAAACTTTTTAGTTTGGTGTATTTTTATTAATTTCTTATTTTGTTCATTGAACTTTAGGTGTCACATCCGAAAGCTCATTACCAAGATCTATGTCAAAGAGCCTTTTTTCTATGTTTTTTCAAAGATTTTATTCATTTGCTTTTGGAGAGAGGGGAAGGGGGAGATACATCAAGCAGTTGCCTTTCACACACCTCCAACTGAGGACCTGGCCTGCAACTCAGGCATGTGCCCTGACTGAATCAACCCAGCAACCTTTCAGTTGATAGGCTGGCACTCAGTCCACTGAACCACACCAGCCAGGGCTCTTCTGTGTTTTATTCTAAGAGTTTATTGCTTTCTGGTCTTACCTGTAACTCTTAATCCATTTCAAGTTAATTTCTGTGGGTGTTGTAATATAAGGGTACAGTTTCATTTTTTTTTAACACGTGAATATCCAATTTTCTCAGCACCCTTTGTTGAAGATACTGTCCTTTCTCCATTGAGTTCTTGGTTCCTGTGTCAAATACTAGTTGACCATATATGCATGAGTTTATTTCTGCTTCATGGCATTTCTGACTAGTGATAATTCAGATAAATTTAAACAAGTGGAAGAATGCCCAAGTGCTTATGGAATCACCAGGTAAACTTGCCCCCAGTACACAGGGACTCCATTGAGAGAAGGGGACTGGTGTTGGAGGTCTCTCTCTCCACAGGGGGAAAAGTTGTGAGGTTCCTGGGCCTTAAGGCATTCTTAAAAGCTTTGATGTTGGGAGGCAGTGGTGCTGTATCCCTTTCCTTTGACTGGATTCTTCCAGGGCTGGGAGTAATGACTGCTGCCAGTCTGCAAAGACCATGTGCTGAAAAGCCTCTCCATGTACTGTGTCCCTGGAGAGTCACTTGTGAGAAATGACCTGTGCTGTGTCTGTCTTTCAGCCACCCTACATCATGTAGCAGTGCTGCTGAGATCATGTCTGTGCTGTTATTCCACGTCATGAGATATAAAGAGGAGGACCCGGAGAACCCAAACAACGACCGCTTTATCCTCTGTAAAGTAAGCAAGCATGGGAGCCCAGGGCCTGCTCAGATGCTCACTTAAACTCATTTTTAAAGCCACCATGTGGCAACAAGGCCTGAAATGGGCTCTGTTTATCTTTTTGGTTCTCCTTTCTTTGCCTTATGTCATAGTCCATTTGGGCTGCTATAATGAAATACCAAAGACTGGGTGACTTATAGACAATAGAATATCACAGTTGTGGGGGCTGGAAGTCAAAGGTCAAGTCACCATCATGGTCATGTTCTGGTGAGGGGCCCTGTACCTGGTCACGGACTTCTAATTGTATCCTCACATGGAGGGCCTTTTTTATAAGGACACTAATCCCACTTTTGAAGGTTCTGCTCTTGTGACCCAATCACCCCCCAAAGACCCCCACCTCCTAATACTATCACCTCAAGCATTAGGTTTTGAATATAGGGATTTGGGAGGGGGGGAAACAAACAGACCATAGTACCTCGTAAAGCTCTAAAAGGTGTTCTAGTGAGGAGTGTGTGGTAGGAAGGATGACTTGTGGTGACTGGCCTTCCTTTCCTTTGGTGTGCCCTACTTCATACCACCTAGCAGTAAAGCCCCCCTTGGCAGAGTCATGCTGCTCCCATCCTCTGTCACCTCGATAGAGGTGGGCAACATTAGTGAATCCAGCTTTCTGAGCTGGAGGAAAATTGAGTTGGATTTGGAGGGTCATTCTACTCCGTCCATTTCTTTTCCATTTCTCTGTAGTTCTGACTTGACACCAATGGGGGACTTTCTCATTAGACTAGGTATAGTACCAGGTACCTCATTACATTGGGGAATGGGAAAGAAAGGGAATATTAAAAACAAGGTCTATCTAGTAAGAATGTGTAACTCTTCGATGCTAGTCTGAAAGTTTGCTGCATCCTGAGCAAATCATTTAAAATTTAACTGATAGAGCACCATGAACAAACAAACCCCAGATCTGGGCAGCGAAAGTAGTTTAAAAACAAAAGTCAGAATATGGGCTTGGCTGAAGTATCTTGGGTTGTAGTTATGACTCTGTCTTGGTATCTGAAACATAATCTCAAATGAGGTTTGGCAAAAGGTAAACAAAATGTGTGAGTGTGCATAGAAAGATTAAGAGATGCTGCAGAAGTGGTCTATTAGTAATAGATGGTGAATCTAGGTGAAGAGAATATGGGACATGATTGTACTAGTCTTAAAATGTTCCTATAAGCTTAAACTTACTTTACAATAAAAATCAAATAAATGTAGGTGTACAAACAGTATGAGTATTTAGATCTCTGGTTTAGTAAAAGAAAAGGTGCCTAGACTATCCCATATCCACTGCTGTCCTGTCAAATAATCAGAGTCACTGGCCTTAGAGGGATAAAGAGGCTTTCTGGCATTCAGTAGCAGCCTGGGCACTGTTCAGTTGACAAACTTTGTATTCATCAGATTTAATCAGAAAAAAATGAAAGAGAGGAAATACACAGAAGTGTAATCCATCTTGGCTTTGGCTGGGAATGGAGTAAATGGACTCCAGTACAAGCAGAGGAACCAGGATCTTCACAATCAGTGCTCCTGCAATGCGCGTGTCTAACACAGACAAGCACAACTGCTAAAACCTGGCAGTGTCACTGACTGAGGTGCCTGGATTCCCTTACTCAGGGTGCTGAAGGCTTGGAAAGGGAGGCTTACAATGCCCCCATCCCCCATCCAGGCCTTTGTTTTTGTTTTGTCAGCTCTTTTGTTTTCTCCAGCCAAGCAGGCCTGGAAAGTAACCAAAAGGCCCTTCTGTAAACTTGTTCTTGAGGCACACTTTATGCTGGAACAAAGATGAGAACACAGAAGAGAAGTATTTCTTTTCTGGGTGTCCATAACTCCTTGTATGCATCTTTATTTTAGCTGTTGGTACCATCAGTTGTGGCTCCCTCCACAGCATAAGGGTTCTTGAAGAAGAGAAGGGAACCCATGTGGTGACACTTCTGCCATGCCAGCATTGTGTTCTTGCCCCACCAACCTTCTCAATCAATCCTACAGCCTCCTGCCCCCCTAGGAGGGCTCTCATCTCCATCATACCCATAAAGCATTGAAGTAGTTTTCACTTGTCCCTGTTTTAAAGCCAGGGAGAAACAGGGTTGGTCTAAGTCGGGGGTGTCAAACTTATTTTTACCAGGAGCCACATCATCCTTGTGGTTGCCTTTAAAGGGCCAAATGTAATTTCGACTCCTTGAAGTTAAGGAGTAATTACACTTACACAGTCCTAAAATTATATTCGGCTCTTGAAGGCAACCCCAAGGCTGATGTGGCCCCAGTGAAAATGAGTTTGACACCCCTGGTCTAAGTGCATACCCCAGGCTGGGTCCAACGGCATGCGAGACAACTGGGAGCCAGGGCTCGTTACAGGAGTAAGATATAGGAGCCATGAGGAAAAGGATGGAGCTAGAGATGACATCAGGAGAAACTTCAGTGGGACAATTCTGTGGGGATAGAGATGCAAAATGCAGAGGAAGTCTCTGGGGTCATAGAGCATGTGGAGAAAGCTAGTAGTAGGGTAGAGTGGGAAGGGAGAGGGACCTGAGACTAAGAAGCACCCCTCTATGGTAGTGACAACACACCAACCTCTGCTTGATTGGAGCTGACATTTAAATGCAGGAGGGAGCAGACAAGAAACACATGTAATAGATAGCTGGCATGTCAGATGGAGCTGAGCATCCTGAATCCAATGGAAGTGGAGGGGTAGGGGGCACTAGTTGAAAAAGATGGTCCAAGAAGGCCTTGATGCTGCCATTCGAGCAGAATTTTGGAAGGGGTGAGGGAGTCAGCTATGCACTTGTTTAGGCATAAGCACTGAGCACTTGGGGAAGAGAGAGCTGCAAGTGCTAAGACCCTCAGGTAGGCATGTGCCCAGTGTGTTGTGTGTTCAAGGGGCAGCAAAGAGGCCAGGGAACCCCGGGTGGTGGGAGGGAGAATAGGAAGTGAGGGGGTGCCAGAGTGGACAGGCCAGTGCAAGAACTTGGGTTCTACTTGGCACAAGATGGCAAGACCTTGGTCATTTTTTTTGGCAGAGAGTAATGCGCAGACTTAGGGTTTTAACAGGCTACCCTGGCAGTTGTGTTGAGAATGGCTATGGAGGAGCAGGGAGGCCACAAGTTCTTGCTTAGGTTTTCAGCTCTGCTCTTGAGCTCTGTTTAGGCTGCAGAGTGGAGGAAAAGCCTCCCAAGCTATGTTCCCAAAGCCTGACACGTGTCAATGTGTCAATTATCTATGGTTTCCCTGTCTTTGTGATCTGTGACTTGCGGTGCATATGGGTGTAGTGAAGAAGAAGTCACCCCACAGGGTGGAAGGGGCCATTCTGAGGAGTAGCCTGTGCTCAGTACCAGAAGTTGGCCTGATATTCAACTTCCTGATACCTGTGTCCTGCAGCTGCAGATAGGTTCATTTGATAGCCTCTCTTACAGCAACTGGCATTTTTTGATATGGCAATCGGATGGTACGGACAAGGATTGGGCACTGCATGCGGCATGGCATATACTGGCAAATACTTTGACAAGGCCAGGTAAGTTGCATACCCAGAAACCACTTGACTGTCCCCATGTCACCCCCAGCACTTTGGCCCTATTTATGGCTTATTAGTTGGGAAGATAGTGATTATTTGAAAGTTCAGATTACCAAGTATTCAAGCAGTATAGAAATTGTGTTTCTGGAACCTATCTAGAATCTTTGGTTGGGTTCTAAGAGCTGCCTGCAGTACAGAAACCAGTTTATTAGGACTCTAGTCTTTCCTAAGAAAGACATCTTCCTGTTCTCCCTGTCTCAGTGAGTTTTACTAGAGAGTGAACAGATGGCACATTTGCCTTTGCATTGGGAACCCCTAAATATTAATAGTCAAAGGTTTCTTTTTTGGAGCAGTTCCACCTTTCTGAAGACGGGCACACACCCAGCTGCTACTGAAAAGGGAGCAAGGCAATGGCAAGGCACTGGGGGTTGTTGGGCAGGTTGTATTGGTAGTATGCATGTTCTCCTTCTGTGACTCCTCTGTACACCTAAGTCCAGAACCCCTCAGTCCCTGGTTCCAGCCCAGGTGGCCCCTCTACAGGCACTTCATGCTTCCTGTACTGTTCAGACAGCTGCCCCGCTCCATTTCCCATAAGCCCGTTAACATTTTTTATTTCTTATTATTGCCTCTGTTAGTCTCTATGCTGCATTTTTGTGGGGTCTGGGTTACATTTTATTGGTATAAATGTTCCATGTTTCTACTGTGGAGGAGTTCACCATTTCCAACAGAACATATGCTCCTGAAGTAGAATGTTTTGATTGTCAGTAAATTTGTAAGGTCACAGGTAGGTGGTAGTGCAAGAAACTATATATGTAAGTGATTGGGTGTTTAAGGGAGCTGCTTTCTTCCCATTCCCTCTTATTGGTTGTTCAGAGAAGTGGCAGAAGAGTCTAGAAAAAGCCTTTACAACTAGAATGAGTATAAACTAGCCAAAGGTAAAATCCATTTGTGGGGCCCAAGCTTTTATTTATTTGTTTGTTTGTTTGTTTATTTTTAGAGATAGTGGAAGGGAGAAAGAAAGAGAGGGAGAGAAACATCAATGTGCAAGGGAAACATTGATGGGTTGCCTCTTATAAGTCCCCAACTGGGGACCTGGTCCACAACCCAGGCATGTGTACTGACTGGGAATGGAACTGGCGACCTTTTGGTTCACAGGCTGACTCAATCCACTGAGCCACACCAGCCAGGGCAGATCCAAGTTTTTAAAGCTGTGTTTCCTCAGATGTTGAGTTTGGACAGGGTGAACAAGGAAAATAGTCTTAACTTGATCTGAAGCGGCTGCCTCAGTCTGTTCCTTTGTTTCTCTCAGTGAAATATATTTGCTTGAGTGGCCATGAAGAGATCTGAGCAGGGTCTTAAACTTCTTTTGACTTCTCCCAGCTACCGGGTGTTCTGCCTCTTGAGAGACCGTGAGTCTTGGGAAGGCTCCGTCTGGGAGGCATTGGCCTTTGCTTCCCACTACAGTCTGGATAATCTCATAGCCATCTTCGATGTGAACCGCCTGGGCCGCAGTGGCGTCTTGCCCATTGAGAACTGCATAGACATCTATCAGAAGCGCTGTGAAGCCTTTGGGTAACTGTCCTGTTTTATGTTACCTCTGTCTCCCCCATCGCCCCTCCACCTTGTAACCTGGCCTTCTCTTCCGTTGACAGGTGGAATACTTATGTGGTGGATGGCCGTGATGTTGAGACACTGTGTGCAGTATTCTGGCAGGCAACTCAAGTGAAGGACAAGCCCACTGCTGTAATTGCCAAGACCTTCAAGGGCCGGGGCATGCCAAGTAAACAAGTGTTTCTTTTCTGCTTGGGGTTATTAAAAACATTTCTCTGCACAAAAGACAAGTCAGGAGACTCTGGCTGGCCAGGCAGACAACTGACTTAGTGCACAGTGACTATGCCTGAAATAATGTGCTGTTCCTTGACTTTTATAGATAGTGTGTCTGGTTAGGGTGGGAGGGGAAGCCCAGATCCCCAGCAAGTGATCGGTGATTTTCTGCCTACACGAGGGAGTGGGTAGGAGGGTAGTCTTGCCACTTAGAGGACTGGCAGGGAACGATCTCCATGGGAGTGCAGAGAGAGGAGGTGCTGCTGTGTGCGTGAGCAGATATGTAAATAAGGGTGAACACACACAGGCATACGCATGCTTGCCTGTGTCCAAAGTATCAGGGAAAACACAGGCAACTAGTAAAGTGGTGCCTCCAGGAAAGGTAGCTGTGGAATTGAGGGCTTAGGGAAGGAAGGTGTTTTGAAAATCCTCTTGCAGATTTCAGAACTGACACCTGGAGTTGTCCATCTCAAGTATAAATAGTTGCAAAGGGTGTGATTCCTGGTATGTTTTAATACAGAGATTTTAGAATAAAACTGTTCTAAGACTTCTCAAAGTACAGTCTTACTCTGGTATCCTGAGTTCAGGAAATGACCACTTGACTGATTTGCTTCTGGCAGAAACCTGGGTACTGTCCTTGCCTCTTCCCCTCCCTTATATGCTCCCTATACCCCTACCCAGTTCACCATCAATTCTGATTTCTGCCCTTGAAGTATATCTCAAATCTGTTCAGTCTTCTCCCTCTCTTCTACCCAGGCCCCTGCCATCTCTCTCTAACTGCTGTTTACACAAGCCAGTCCCCACAGGGCTACTGTGGTGATCTTTCTACAACACAGGTCTGATCATTCACCTCCCCCACTCCAGCCCTTCAGTAGCTTCCCATCTTGCTTTGGACAAAACTCAGAACTCTTTGTACCCATGGGATCCTCCATGGTCTGCCCTACCTATCTCTCCAGCCTCATTTCCCTCATTCTCCCCTCCAGTCACTAGCACATGGACCAGTGGCCCCTTCAAGAGCCTCTGGGCCTTTGTCCAGACTGTTTATCTAAGAGTATGATACCATCTCAGACTATGCCAGATTTTTACTCCTATGAGTCCTTGGCTGACATCATTGATATCAGGATATCAACAGGTGCTTGTGAAGTATTTTATGGAATGAATATCTTTTATTCCTTTGCAGGCATTGAGGATGCAGAAAGTTGGCATGGAAGGCCAATGCCAACAGAAAGAGCAGATGCGATTATCAAACTAATTGAGAGCCAGATAGAGACCAACAGACATCTCGAACCAAAACCCCCTGTTGAAGACTCGCCTCAAGTCAACATCACAGACATACAGATGACTTCTCCACCTGCTTACCAAGTTGGTGAAAAGGTAAGCAAGGTTTGTTTTCTTCTTTTCTTACTAAATCCACAGGACTCCTCACTTACTCTGATCTCCATGGATGAATCAATTATTAGATGGTGTAACATTTAAAGGTTATGAGCAATGAAGATGGGTTTACCTTTTATTATTTCTGATTTTTATTATTTGATTTCAAACTTAATTTACATCTGAATTTTTTTCAGTCACTTGCTACCTGTTGGTGTCCAGTGCTGTGTAGCTTTTGCTTGCTTCCTAAACTCAGTTTGTGGTTTAGCCGTCTACTGTGCATGACAATTCTGCCTGCTCTAAGGATGGGGGCCTGGCTGGGCTGATCTTTTGAACTTACTCCCTGGATTACACATGGAAGCAGGCTAATTCATCAAAGACCAATTCTTCAAAAAAGAAAACAAATTAGGCATGAAACCCTGAACATAAGATCTTCTCATTTTTTATCATTTTTATATCCTACTTTCTTGTATAATTACATCAGACCCAAAACAGGTGCAGTCTTTGGGATTTAAGGAAACAAGGTGATGAGCCTGGAAGGAAGAAAACTTTTTCTGACCTTTATTTTCCTTATTTATTTGGGGACATTCTGAGTGTTGCTTGTGTTTCCTTGGCCTGGTAATATGGGTTTAAAATGAATTGACTACTCAAGAAATTAGAAAACAGATGAAAAATCAGAAAAAGGAGTTAATAAGGAAAAAGCACATATTAACAAAGGACACTTTGACAATATGTGACAACACTTGAACTGTTCACACCCCTCAAACTCAGAGGAATTTGTCCTACAGAAACATCTGTGCAAGTGTACAGATACATCTATCAGAATAAATGTTGATTGCACCATTGGTTATGATGATAAAATTGGAAATGACCCAGCAAAAAGCTAAGGATAGCCCTGGCTGGTGTGGATGGATGAGTGGATTGAACGCCAGCCTGCAAACCAAAGGGTTGCTGGTTTGATTCCCTGTCAGGGCACATGCCTGGGTTGTAAGGCCAGGTCCCCAGCAGGGGGCATGCAAGAAGCAACCACACATTGTCGTTTCTCTCTCTCTCTCCCTCCCTTCCCCTCTCAAAAAATAAAATCTTTTTTAAAAGAAAGCTAAGAACTCACCCAAATTATTATTAAAGTTTTTAAAGTTGCAAAGTAACATACAATATAATTCTATTTTTGTAAAGAAAATGTTGAAAGGGAGCAGCATGTATTAGTAAAGGACATTTAAAAGTTTAAAGATAATGACACCAAATTTAAGCGTGTTTTTTTTTTTTTCCTGGAAAGTGGAATTAAGGGAACTTTCCATTTTTTAAAAGAAGTATGTAAGCCTGGCTGGCGTAGCTCAGTGGATTGAGTGCGGGCTGCGAACCAAAGTGTCGCAGGTTCAATTCCCAGTCAGGGCATATGCCTGGGTTGCAGGCCATGGCCCCCAGCAACCGCACATTAACATTAATGTTTCTCTCTCTCTCTCTCTCTCTCTCTCTCTCTCTCTCTCTCTCTCTCTCCCTCCCTCCCCCCCTCTCTCTCCCTCTCTCTCCCCCTCCCCCTCTCCCTCCCTCCCTTCCCTCTCTAAAAATAAATAAACAAATCTTTAAAAAAAAAGAAGTATGTATATTTTTTGAATAATATGAAAAATTAAAGCAGGCCAGTTCAGAAAAAATTAATGAATTAAAAGACAAGCATTAATACACAAATCTAAGAGTTGCCTCTGTGAATTACTGATACAGTAGAGAAGCCATTAGCTAGGTCTACTTAAAAGATAACATAAATGTATAAAATTAGTCATTAGATGAGATAACCATAGATGCAGAAAACATTCAAAAAATTATGAGAAAACTATATAATGCTATAGTAATTGACATGAAAACCTGTTTAAAAAAGGGACAATTTTTTAGGAATACATAAAATACCAAAATTGTCTTAAAAAGATACAAAACACTTTAGATCAACGGCCGTAGGAAAAAATGAGAAAACTGTCTTAAGAGTTATACCTCCAAACTGCCAGTCAGCTCACCAAGTTACAAGAATGATTTATTTTTAACCTTAAAGGAATGAGTCATTCTGGGCTATTTCAAACCTTCTTGAATATGGTGAAAGACAAACGTATCTATCATTCCAATTCATTTGTGAAGACAAAATGTGATAAAGCTATATTAGAGACCAACTTCATTTATGACTGTTAATGTAAAAATTCTAAATAAAACAGTCACTAATCCCAACTCCATTAGTACATTAAAAGAAGTATAAGCAAATTAGTAATTAGGGTGATTTCATCAATATTAGGGAGGGGCAAATTACTGTTTTGATGCATGGGAGACAAAAGCAGTTCGAAAATTCATTTTTTTAACCTCTTATAAAACAAAGTAGGACTGGTGAAATACTTCAGTTTGATTCTCAATCTAGCTATCTTAAACCTGGAGTCCTCTTCATAGCTAATGGCAAAAACATCTTGTTAACCTGGCAGAGAAGTCAGCTCCAGTTTGGAAGTGGTAGTCATGTAAATGGAATCATGTGAATTTTGTGTATGGTTTATTTCATTTAGCACAATATTTTCAAGGTTCATCCATGTTGTGGCATGTACAGTTCTCCATTTTATGGATATATCATACATTTTTATTTATCCATTCATCTATTAATGGATATTTGGGTTGTTTGTCTTTTGACTGTTGTGAATCATGCTATTGTGGACATTTGTATACAAGTTTTATATAGATGTAGTTTTCTCTTGCATATATATCTAGGAGTAGAATTGCTTGGTCACATGGTAATTCTATGTTTAACATTTTGAGGAAACGCCAAATCTTGTTTTAATAGAAATAATGTTGTAAAGATGTCAGTTCTCCTCTAAACTCATAAATTCAGTCCAATCTCAAACATAATCTAATGGAATTCTTTATTTTTGGTATCAGTATTCTGAAGTTCTATATTTTCATTTTTGCAGTGAGTATTATCAGTTTGATAGCTGAAAAGTTAGAGGCATTTACATTTTGGTAAATTTGAATTTTTAAATCAACTACACAAATGGTACAGAAGAATAAATGTATTTTTGAAAAATTGATACAAGTAAGCCAAATATGGATTCAAGATTGGCTAGCAATCCATTTTTATGATCCTAAAAGAGATTATTGGTGAATCACAAATTTGCCTTCTTCATTTAGATAGATGACAATTTGCAATTCTACAAAATTTCACCTTCTAAATCCATTCTAAGAAACTCTGCTGTTTGACTTTTCCAGGTAGCTACTCGTAAAGCATGTGGTTTGGCTCTGGCTAAGCTGGGCCATGCAAATGAGAGAGTCATTGTGCTGGATGGTGACACCAAGAACTCGACCTTCTCTGAGATGTTCAAGAAGGAGCATGCTGAGCGCTTCATCGAGTGTTTTATTGCCGAGCAAAACATGGTATATATTCTATAAGTGCCCTTCTTGGGTCTTCTCATTGATTAACAATGGCTCACTGGACACAGGAAGCCCAGCCTACCTTGTAGTTTTCCTTTTCATTTATAAAAGCAAAGGCACTGGAGAAAAAAATGTCCTCAGGGAAACAAGTAGAGAGTAGCTGGGCAGAGTCTGAGGGGTGGCTTCCAGAATTGCTAGGAGGAGCATGGTAGACTGCCTAGCACCCTGTCCTAGTAGGTGGTAACCATTTGACTCCAGGGCTCCATCCTGAGCTCCCTACTAGCTCTAGGTAGCCTTGCTCTTTTTGCCCAGCTCACAACCAAGCAATTCTACAACCACACAGAGACCAGTAGGTTGAGAGAGCTACAATGGACTGATTTCTGTCTCTTCACTGTACTGCAGGACCTAATATACCCTAGATACTCAAATGTTGTGCTAATTGCAGCCTCGAGAATGCCAGTAGAGCTGTGGTCTTGGATAAAGCTGTACTGCTTATCTATGCTTCATCTCTCCCTGGAGTGATGATAATGCAGGGAGTCTCTTTTGCTTGTGCACGCACCTCCACACCCCACTTCTCAAAGAAAGAAAGGAGTTAATGCCAATAAACACCTTGACTTCTAAAGCTCTGTGGCAGTACAGAGGACAGTGTACACCTGTCTTCATAGTTCAGAGGCAAAAAACAGCACTGGCTGGAAAACTATAGGCCAGCAGGTTTCATGTGACCACCAGAGGTATTTTATTTAGAACAAGTAGTACTTACAAATTTTTGAAGTAGTTGCCAGCTTTTAAAGATCAGATTTTATATACAGTATTAATTTCTGGGTTCTCTTGAATAATGGGAGAATCTGGCAACACTGGGATGGCATTCCCTCAGTCAGCTAGAGCCATTTAGATGGGACATGTCCCCTAACCCTTTTCTCAGCCTGCTCATTCACTCATGGTGCTTCCTGGGCCCTGTCAGTGTTGGAATTTCAGGCTCCTGTTCAGTAAAGTAGGTCATCACGATTGTAAGAATATTCACATTTTTCTATGAGTCTCATTAAGCTATTTCCAGTTGGAAAAAATGCAATCTGTAATTTTCTGAATTAAGCCTCCTATCAAAACTTTGCTCCCCAACTCATTGATGATCCCTTCAGTCATCAATCATATACTCTGTACCTACTGATGGGTTCTTAAAGTTGGAAGAAAACTAGTAAAGAAGAAGCCAGCAGGTAATATTCAGTGCCCAGGTTAAACAGATAGCTAGTGAGAATGTGACTAGCACCAGTCAGGGATAGCCTCTTGGAAGAGCTGACATTTAAGCTGAGACTTAAGTGACAAGGAGACAGCCATGCACAGATATGGAGTGTGGCATTCCCAGCATTGGGCACAGCTATCTCTGTAGCAGGCCCAAATTTGAGATGTTTGGGGAGCAGGAAAAAAGGCAAAGAGGTGTGCACCATCCAGCAGGGGCAGGAGCAACAGCATCCATTGGGGGAGGGGGGTTGTCTCATGGAATGCTTCTGAGAAGTCAAATGCAGTGCAAACAGATCAGGCAAACTCTTGCATTTGGCACCTTCAGAGTCCCTCATAGGGATGACAGGCTAGCCAAAGGAGGCCAGGGAGGGACAGTGTGAGAAGTTGGAGAACATAGATGAAGGGCAGGCAGTCTGTGGAGGGGAAGGAAAAGGTGGAGGTGGGAGAGTGAAGATGGAAGATAGCGGCAAATACTCAAATGGTGAGCGAACCCAAGAGAAAGGGAAAAATTGACTGAATACAGGAGGGAGGGGATAATTGCACAGAGATACCCTTGAGAAAATAAGAGAAGATTCAGCGTGGTGAGTGGGCCTTAGGTAGGTGCAGGGCCACCATGTCTCCTAGCAGCATAGTTGGAGAGGCCAGTTGGGGCAGATGGGAGAACCTCCATTGTTCACCTCTCATTCCCCAGGAGGTGTAAGGTGAGGCTACTATATGAGGGGGATGGGAAAAAGGTGTGCAGAAGGTTTGGGAAGAGGAGGACAGGAAGGAGACCCATGAGGAATGGGGGGTGGTCATAGGTGTCCCAAGCTTTTCCTTTTTGTATTTGAGGAACCAGGTCAGTTCCTATGATTTCTGGCAGTGCTCAGGGGACACTGGGTTTGCCAGGTTTGGGGTTTCCCTGAGTATGTGCCTGGGGTGGGTGGGGTGAGGCAGGGAGGTGTGCAGAGCAGGGTTGTTACCCTGGGAACCATGCACTATACCCTGGATTAGAGGAAAGGGGGACAGTTAGGGGTCATGGGGGCCATGTTCAGGAGTGTTCTGATTCACCTTCTTGGTATTACAGGTGAACGTGGCACTGGGGTGCGCCATCCGTGGTCGGACCATTGCTTTTGTTAGTACCTTCGCTGCCTTTTTGTCCCGAGCATTTAATCAGATCCGGATGGGAGCCATCTTTGAAAGCAACATCAATATTGTTGGGTCCCACTGCGGGATATCTGTTGGTATGAGTTCTCAGTGCCATCTTCTCCATAGCCTTTCTACTTTACAGAGAAAGATTAATATCTGAACAACTGAATCTCCAGTGTACATAGGGTTTCACAATGTTTGATTGTAACCACTTTTTTTAAAACCATATTGTGCTTTACGAGTTCTAGATTCTTTGGGTAACTTTTGACTAGCCTCTTGATATTACTGTAAAATGTCCACTTTTGCAGTCATTGAGAAATAATAATCTGTTCTGAGTTCTTACATGTCAAGCTACATACTGGGTATGAGTGGGACCATCCCAGCATTACAGAATCCCTTTCTGCTCTTGGTCATGGGCACAGGAAAGTGAGGAACACAGCCTGCAGGACTTTGCCTGGGTGGAGCAGCCTGGTGGGATGGAATGGGAAGCTTTGAGAACCCTGCCACTGGGGAGTGAGGCTGAGGAAAACATCACTCTTGGGGTATTAACCTGGCAGGACAAGTTGGTGGAAACAACTGGAAATACGAAATCTAGGAAGAGGGTTGAAATACAGTGTACATTAGCAGTGGATAGAAAATAAGGGTGAATCTGAAAAAGTCTGAAGAAAGATGTCATGTTGCTGAGAGATGGAGGGGCCCAAAATTGCCTGGGAAACATCGAGGAGTCAGGGTCATGAGTGACAGATACGAGGACTTGGGAAAGATGGAGATGACTGATGTGCCTGTGGTGGGGCAGGAACCCCAGGTAGATGTGACAGCTCACCTTTGCTGCTTAGAATGCTGGAGGGGAGGGCTAGAAGTGAGCAATTGGGAATCATCTCTGGGACTCCCTGGGAGAACTACACTAGCTAAGAAGTCTCTGGATGGGCCGGATACACGGGGAGAGCAAAGTGAGAGGAGAGTAGAGTGAATAACATTTCAGGGCTGGCCTGGGCAGAGAGCCTGGGAATTGGGGGTCTCTGCCTGAAGCTGGGTCGAGTGAAATTTTCAAAATAATCAGCTAAGTGGAGAAGTGGCTCTGGGTCTAACCCAGAGGAACTAGGTGTTCTGAGGTTGAACAGTTATCCCAGGCAAGGCAGTGTGCACAGTGACAGTCCCCTTCCTAGCTAGAAGACGTAGGCTACCATGGTGTACATTGGGCTTTCTCTTTTTACACCATTTCAGGCCAGAAACTCTGTTTCCAAACAAACCCTAAGGCCCACTTAATTACAATAGCGCCCCAAGGGTGCCCCCAAGGTATATTATATTCAGCTACCTTAAAGGCCTTAAGAAGTTAATAAGAACACTTCAATCTATAAAAACCCCAGTCCCTTGATGGAGAAGATAAAAGAGTAGAGAAGGAAGAACAGAGCCTGAGAGGACCCTCATAAGGAGAAAGGGGACAGGGACCGACTTGATGGGCCAAATCGGCCACCTGTGCTCAAGGAGAAGAGCATCAAGTTACCTTGGACAGCAGTAGCAGTGACCAAGTACCAGAGGTTGGCAAAGGTCAAAGGACAGCGGTATGCGGCCTGTGGGCCACATGCGGTGCAGGATGAATATGAGTGCAGCCGAACACAAAATTGTAAATTTATGTAAAACCTGTTTTGTTTTGTTTTTGTCATCATTTTTCATCAGTGATTGTGTATTTAATGTGTGGTACAAGACGACAACTTCCACTGTGGCCCAGAGATGCCAAAAGGTTGGGACACCCCTAGTCAAGACCAAAAAGGGACCACTGTTTGCTGATCTGGAAGGTCAATTAGCTGAACCTGGGGTGTCACAGTAATGTCTCAAGGGAGATAGATGTGTGGCAACTTATTACAAGTCATTATATTGGCATAAGAATTGGATGGTTTTTGTAGGACTCTGCTACAGTTGTGCCCCTCACCCCCACTTCGTGGCCATAGGAGCTGTTGTTTATCGAGCAGAGGACAATGTCCTGGCTTCTTGGTCTTGCTCATGTTTTTGTTGGGCTGTGGCTTTGTTTTCTCAGGTGAAGATGGTGCCTCCCAGATGGCACTGGAGGACTTGGCCATGTTCCGAGCCATTCCCAACTGCACCATTTTCTATCCAAGTGACGCCATCTCTACAGAGCATGCTGTGTTCCTGGCGGCCAATACCAAGGTATTTTTAGGGGACACTGGTTCAGACTGAAAATGCTTCTGAGCTCTGCTACTGGTTTGGTACTGATGGTTGGATTTTTCTGTTATTTTTTCTCAGCATAAAGGTAATAGATTTGGTTGTAGGATTCCTTTTAAAAATACAACCATTACCCAATAAAGGTGATAGAAGCACATAAAACAAGAACACAGTCCAAGACAAATAGTGCAGAGGGATGCTGACCCACCACCTCATGGGCCCAGATTGGCCAGGACTCAGCCAGAAGAGGGAGTCTGGGACTCTGAGGCAGGGAACTTCTGGCAGGGCTGAAGGAATTGGCTCCAGCAGTGAGCTGTCAGGTGCTGGCCTTAGACATGCCCCATGCCACCACCTTGTGATATCCAGAAGGCTGGTGAGTGGCTGGTGGGACTCCATTGCACACAAACCCCAGGATCACTCATTAACAGTGCAGAAGGGCAAGAGTATGGTGTCTGCCCCACTTGCCCCTCCTGAAATCTCTCATAAGGACATCAGATGAACACAACATAATTCCTGCCCAGGATCCGGCTGCAGGGGCATCTAGAGGATGTAATCTTCACCTTTCCAATCACTGCAACTATCTGTCAGCAGGCTCTCCCCACCACCCAGCCCTGCACCTGCCCACGCCCCTACGTAGGTGACTCCGGGCAGTTGGGGTAGATAGTGGAAGTTCTGTTCTAAGCATTTGCAATGTGTTAAAGATGTGTTTCTTTGACCTTTTTTAAACCCGTGTGGGCTCACACTCTTGTTCTGTACACTATATCTTGGAAGTTGTTTTATGCCTGTGCCTACACAGAGTGATCTCATGTGAGCTGGAGGATTTCATTTCTAGGAAGTTCAAAAAAGGCAAAGTAGAGCTGTGGTGACCAATTAAGAAGAGAGATTTCAACTTGGGTAGGCAGAATGACAGGACAGGCACAAAAGAACTTTCTGGGCAGATGAATGCAATATGGACTCAGGTATTGGTTATGCAGTGTGTACCTTTGTCAGAATTTATGGAGTGCTCCACTGAGGTAAAATTTACCTCAATAAACACTGAATATCCCAGCTGGTGTGGCTCAGTGGATTGAGCATTGGCCTGTGAACCATAGGGTCGCCAGTTTGATTACCAGTCAGGACACATGCCTGGGTCAGTCTAGGTTCCTGGTTGGGGGCGTGTGAGAGGCAACTGATCTAGGTTTCTTTTGCACATCAATGTTTCTCTCCCTCCCTTCCTTCTCCTCTCTCTAAAAATAAATGAACAAAATCTTTAAAAAAAAAACACTAAATAGGATTGATTTATAACATGAGAATGAACAGAAGTTAAGTTTCTAAATTAATAGTTTATGATGTATGATTTATATGTTTCATAAATTGAATACTTTAGACATTTGACTGTTTATTTATACTTCTGTATATGGCCCTGGGTGGTATAGCTCAGTGGATTGAAGGGGGGCTGCGAATCAAAGGGTCACCAGTTCGATTTCTAGTCAGGGCACATGCCTGGGTTGCAGGCCAGGTGCCCAGTAGGGGCCATATGAGAGGCAACCACACATTGATGTTTCTCTCTCTCTCTTTCTCCCACCCTTCCCTTCTCTCTAAAAATAAGTAAATAAATTTTTAAAAAAAGAATAGTTGCATACACACACACACACACACACACACACACACACACAACTTCTGTGTATGTGTTCAAGTTGATAGAAATGTATTTATCTTCTCACTGGGAAAATACTGAGTCATTTTATATTTCAGTGTTTAAGGTATTTCTAAGGTTGAAGCATTACAAGCTATTGTGGGAAAAATGAACTATTTAGCATTGTGTTGTTTGTGACCTTTCTATTCAATATGAACCAGTGCTCCTGCCCTGGATTTATGTTCTGTGGAGACAGGTCAGTTTGTATCTGAGAAAGCTTTTTTAAATCAGTGAATGTGACAGTGTGGAAAGCTTGCCACGGAGGGCATCCACCAGGGTCCTGCATAAGCTTTTGCCTGGCTCGGTGGTAACCCGACCAGGTGATACCTGACCAGTTTGCCAGTAGTTGTAAGTGCTTATCCCTTGATTCAAAATGTATGCTTTATTTTAGTAAAAGGAGCTGTTCAGTTCTCCTCCTCCCCACTGTTTTTTTTAAAGGTTTATTAGTTAGAAATTGAGTTTGACTTTCTAATAGTTCTGCTTTTTGTTTATACCCTAGGGGATATGCTACATTCGAACCAACCGCCCAGAAACTGATGTTATTTACACCCCACAAGACAATTTTGGGATTGGACAAGCCAAGGTAAGGGCTTAAGTTCTCCCGTGTCCTCTTGTATCATTTCACACGCACAGAACTATTCTAAAGCTAGAACTAGGTATCTGCACAATCAAGGCTTTATCTTTTTTGTATTCTAGCCTGTAGAAAAACATTTGTGACCTTTGCCTGCTTTTCCTCCAGAAGGAACATTCTACTGATATCAGGCAGAACTGAACTTTTCTCCTTTCCAAATGGAGACTCTCTCGCTATTAAGTTTTCAAAGATAAGCAGTACAACTTGAAGGTACTTGTATTGCTTGGCTATAGCTTATCACAGCCTCAAGCTAAACAGAATAATAGAATCCATTTCAAAGGAATCATAGATCTGTGAGGTTCCAATTTGGCATATTCAGAGCCAGGGGAAAAAAGGGAACATGAACCATCTTGCTGCCAGCCATTGTGTGGCCCTGAGATGGGCTTTGCACATTGAATGTGGCCTCACCTGTAGGCCTTTTGTTCAAGGGTAGCATTCTGTGCACTTGCTATCTCTTGCATTCTCACAAAAGCCCTAGAAGCACAGATTGTTAGCAGCCCTGTATTTCAGACAAGGATCAGAGAAGGTGTGCTTTGCTCAGGGTTCACGGTAAGCAGCAAGAGATTATACTGCATAGGAAAGTGTTATGCCCTGCTCTTATCATACGACTTTTTAGGAAGTCATTAATGCTCTTCTTTTAACAAATGTGTATCTTTAGAAGGGGGAAGGAGAAGGAGAGAGAAACATCAATGTTCTAGAGAAAGATCAATTGGTTGCCTCTCGCATGCCCCAACTGGGGATCTAGCTTGCAACCCAGGCATGTGCCCTGACTAGGAATCAGACTGGCAACCTTCCAGCTGTACATAGACCACACAACTCGCTTCTGACCCTCTCTGCCTTTCAGATCCAAGTTTGATACCCACCTTCTTTGTTACAAAGAGTCATTTTGTATGTATTCTGTAATAACTTAGTAATTTGGCACTGAAACCACGAAGAAAGGTACATGAATTTGTAATACATATGAAGAGGGGGTTAATCAAAAAGCATGTTGCCATGTGTTGATTTAGACTTTTTCGTAGTGAATTATTAAGGAGTGAAGTTGGTAGGATGAGGGAAGAGTGATGTAGTGATGTCTTTTGCTTTGAGGTGCGCTCTGACCATAGTAACCACATTTTTGTTTGGCGGGTGCAATACCAGGTCATTCGCCACAATGTCAATGACAAGGTTACAGTTATTGGAGCTGGAGTCACTCTGCATGAAGTCCTAGCAGCTGCTGCTGATCTTTCCAAAGAAGGTCAGGAGTTTTTATTTTTTTAAGGTTTTATTTATTTTTAGATAGGGGAAGGGAGGGAGAGAGGGAGAGAAACGTCAGTGTATGGTTGCCTCTCGAGTGCCGCCTACTGGGGACCTGGCCCACAACCCAGGCATATGCCCTGACAGGAATTGAACCAGCGACCTTTTTGGTTCACAGGCCTGCACTCAGTGCACTGAGCCACCCCAGCCAGGGGAGGTTTTTTCCCCCTAAATGTTGAAGTTTCAGCTGGGGAGAAGTAGGACTTGGGGGCTGCCTCTTGTGCCCTGATTGGTCTTTTTATTCTAAGTCTGCTGCTTCATATACCAAGCTTGTTATTGCTGTTCTCCAGATATTTCTGTCCGTGTCATCGACCTATTTACCATTAAGCCCCTGGATGCTGCCACCATCATCTCCAATGCAAAATGCACAGGTGGCCGAATTATCACAGTGGAGGATCACCACCCGGAAGGTATGTCTTTTTCAAAGTCTGCTTTGGCAGGATGTGTTTGTGTTTTCCTTGATGGAAGGCACCCTGTGCTCCTGGCCATCATCTCCAAATTACCCAACCACTTATCCAACAACTTTTATTACTGCTTTTTGCAAGTGTATTAGCTTAGGGGCGTCTCGTCCACCTACACTGACTCCCTAAGTGTGGGCCCATGCCCATACTCATCTGTGTGTCTTCAGCACAATGCCTGGTCCTGGGTGGCTCAGTGACAGCACAAAGGAATGTCTAACTCGGTTTTGGCATTGTAAACAGGGAGGGTTCATGAAGAGCTTCACAGTTGCTCTTGAATTTTGAATGACTAATAGTTTCCATTCCTGCCCCCCCACCCCGAAATGGGAAGAGTGTCTTGCAATCAGAGAACATAGCAAATGTAGAAAAAGTATGTATCAGAGAAAGGAGGCTGGGCAGTGTTTGGCCTGGGAACGTTAGGTGGGGCAGGTAAGGGGCCTCAAGGGTATGCCTGAGATCCACAGAGTCTCTGGAAGCACTCCCAGTGCCTTCATGGCTGAGATTTTTTACAGGAAAGGGCACCCTCAGGACCCTCGAGGACAGAGGACACAGGTCAGGGGTGGAGAACCCCAGGCCTCCTCTCTCCCTCAATCCCATGAGGGGCCTGCCAGGTACTCTCCCTCTTCAACAGTGAAAAATGTGTCACTGCAGACCCAGGGAATCAACCCATCTGAGACCCAGCGCCCCAGGTTTTATTGGGGGCTGGTCACATGGGCCCCCTGTGCCATACCAAATGCCCCACTCCCAAAGGAGAGCAGGTGCTCCACGTAAACCACCCTATTGTGCAAACAGTCCAGGCACAGGGACCACCATTATCAGTAGGGAAATTGTCACGTTGACCCAGGGGACGTGCACCAGCTCACTGCCCATGTGCCCGCCACCTGAGGGCCAACATTGCAAGTGGCCCTTCTGAAGCTGGTCACCTCAGGTCTGCCAGTTGCTCTTTTATTTACAGTTCATTTGTTACCTTTAATTGTTTTTGGGTTCCTGAGCTCCACAGTCCCCTGTATCTGTGAAGCCCTAGTTGAGAGAGCCCCTACTGTAGGTGGGGCTGTGAGCAATTTGGAAACCTGCAATTTAGAATGAGAATTCTTCTGGCTAGTCAGGGAGTGACTGCTTCCATGAATCAGTACTAATGAAAAGTCTTTTTCTCTGAGAACCAGCAAATTCAAAGCCCTGTATGTCATGGGGCATTAAGGCTGACTAGCTGCTTCCAAAGCAGAGCCTAACATCCCTTGCTTCCCCCAGGTGGCATCGGGGAGGCTGTCTGTGCAGCTGTTTCCATGGAGCCTGACATCCTGGTTCACCGCCTGGCAGTGCAAGGAGTGCCTCGGAGTGGGAAGTCCAGTGAATTGCTGGATATGTTTGGAATTAGTACCAAACACATTATAGAGGCCGTGAGAAATATTTTAACAAACTAAAATAGCTGTTGGCTTCGATCTTAAAATACTAGTTCTACATTTATGCTTGTTGACAAACATTCATTTTAATCTATACTGTTTGTTCTTAGTTCTTTTAAAAAGCAAAGCAAATTAACTACCTTCATAAGTAAAGAAAATGTGAGCTCTGGGCCATGCAGCACTATCATACCATGCCGCACATTGCCATCCCAGGTCAGGAATTAAAGTGCTGCCATCCTACCTGCAGCTTCCTGGGTACCGTGTGACTGTGGATGTCCTGGAATTTCATCTCCTCTCTTAGGGTATGTGGAGCAGCAGTGAAAGCTCTTAAAATGTCCTCCGCTGCTTGTGGTGACTAGTCTGTGAAGAGAGGACACAACTAGTTCTAGTCTCCACACTGCACTCTTGTGAGGTTTCAGAAATGTCTTATTTGCCCAGTGACTACACCAAACTTAGCTCAATTATATTTACTTACTGTAGATACTAGTTAAAAGTTAATAAAGCATTTAAAAAACCATCTGCTTTGTTCCATTTGTGTCTTGTATGTGTGATTTGGTTTCTCCTGGATAAAATCCTCAGTGAAGAAAGAGCTATCTAAACCAGAAGGAGAGAGAGCCATGTCCCTAACAGCAAACCCAGGCAAAGATACTGGGCAGCAGATGCACCACTAGAGGACAGTGTGTGGCCTGAAAAGCCATCCCTGCCCTGATTCTATTTCAGCTGTAAGCATATAAGTCATGGCTGGAATACAGGAGTAAAGTAGCCAGATAAAGAAGGATTTTAACTTCAAAACTAAAGTTAAAGTTGACTGCATGTGTCTGGTATGTCATGGCTCTTATTTTTACTGCCCTCATTAACAGGTCATCAGGGGCCTTTGGGGTAGAATGTGAGGTAGAGAGTGACAAACCAGCTTGGCGCTCCACTAGGTCTTCATTGGAGGCCTGCACATTCTCCTTTTTAAACCACTAAGCTGGTTTCCTGGCCTGTGGAATTAGCATATTGTGCTTATTTTGAAAGATTCCAAAATTTTTTTTGGAAAATAAAAAGTTGATATAACACAAAATATTATCAAACAAAAATAGAAAAATTATAAATATCAAACCATTTATTTTTTTAGTAAAAATCATTTGATACAGGGTCACTGTAGAAAGATTAGAAAATACACATAAGCAAAAAATATTCTTACTTCACTTAACCATCTCATACTTCATTCAACTTCATCCACTGAGAGTATGCAGTTCAGTGGTGTTAGAACATTGAGTTGTGCGATCTACCACCATGGTCAATTTTACATTTTGTATCACCCCAAGGAAACACTGCACCCCTTGCTAGTCACTCTCCACTCACCTTTCTAGCCCCTGGCAACCACTCATGTATTTTCTGTGTCTATGGGTTTGCCTATTCTGGACATAATGTGGCCTTTTTGTGTCTGGCTTATTTCACTAACCATAATGCGTTTGAAGTTTATCCACACTGGAGCTCTGACAGAACTTAATTTCTTTTTAGATTTTTTTAATTTGTATTTTTAGAGGGGGAAGGAGACAAACATCAGTGTGTGAGAAATACATTGACCGGTTGCCTCTTGCATACCCCCAACTGGGGACCTGGCCCATAACCTAGGCAGGTACCCTGACTAGGAATCAGACCAGTGACCTTTTGAGTCACAGGCCAGTGCTCAGTCCATTGAGCCTTGCCAGCCAGGGTTTAATTTCTTATTAGGACGATGTAATAGCCCTCTGTACAGACCACATTTTCTCTGTTCACCTGAGGCACATTCGAGTTTTCACTTTGTCTATTGTAAATAATGCTAATAACATTTGTATTTAAGTCTGTGGATATACTGGGTTGGCCAAAAAGTCCATTCAGTTTTTTTTCTGTAAAATAAAAGGTACACTTTTCATTTTCACCAATAACTATTGACGCATATTTTGAGTATGCTGGCTATCTCCCACTATTGGCTTCTAGTGGGTAGAGGCCAGGGGTGCTGTTAAACATCTTCCAATGTAAGAGAGCCCCACAGCAAAGAATTACTTGGCCAAAATGTCAACAGTACCAAGAAACTGCAAACCACTTTTGACATGTTCAATCAGGCACAGCACCTTCTCATACACTGCCAAAATGTTTTGCATTTCAGTTTTTTTTAACCTTTTTTGATGTAATAAAGCATAATATGCCAAAAATGTGTCTTTTCTTCCATCTTCAATATTAAAATGGCTGCACAAAAATTCAATTTGGGTTTTTTAAAATGCACACTGATATGACAGCTGTCACAATAACAAAATTACTTAAAGACAACTAAGCACTATTAAAGCTATCATATAGAAAAAACTAGAACTTTCTGGCCAACCCAATATATTTTCACTTCTCAGGTGTATATAATCCTAGGAGTGGAATTTCCGGATCATAGGGTGATTCTGTTTACCATTTGAGTGTGTGTGTGTAAAACAGTTTTGAGAGCAGTGACTGAGACATTGCTTGGTATCTATAAACTACTGTGTACTTTAAAGCAGGGGTGTGAAACTCTATTTTCACCCCAGGGACACATCAGTCTCACAGTTGCCTTCAAAGGGCCAAAATAATTTTAGAATCGTATAAAGGTAACTACTCCTTAACAGTTAAGGAGCTGAAATTACATTTGGCCCTTTGAAGGCAACCCGAGAGGCTCATATGGCTGATAGGAAAATAAGTTTGACACCCCTGCTCTAAAGATTCCCTTAGTTCCTGTATCTGACAGTGCTACAAACCAAACATTTAATTGCGTGTGTTACAAAATCCCAATGTCATTTGAATCCCCAGCCTCTCCGTGTTTCTCATGTGAAAGGGCAACAGTTGAGCAGGGCCCTGAAACCTGGAACTGGGATGTCTGGTTGGTCTCAGTTGAAGCTGACCATCAGGAAGCCCCCAGTCCCTCTGAGCAGCCCCTTCTGGTGAAAGTAGTCTGCTTTCTGGTGTCTGGGGGCTGGTGTTCCATTGCTGGAGGATTGTGTCATTGCCTCACTTGAGCAGGTGCCTTGCAAGGAGATACCCATTGTCCTTGAAATCCTCTGCAACCACCCCCTGCTGCCATTAGACCCAAAACTAGGGTCCCATCACAGCGTGCTCCCAGGTGTACCTCCTGAGTACAGAGTAGCCAAGGAGGGAAGGGCCATGGCAGGCGCACAGTCAACTAGTGTAGGTGCTTGAATGTTTCTTAATTGTTCTAGAGCCATGGACGCTGGGGCTCTTGCCCCTGAGTCTTAAGAATGACTACTTGCTGCTCTAGGCCCCCCCCCGCCACGCCCCCTGCCCCCCCCCCCCGCCCCCTGCTACTTGTTAGGATGGTGGGGTGGTGACTAGGTAATCCATTTTGCCTGTTTGTTTCATCTGTAAAAGGGTGTGACGGTGCTGATGACAGCAATAGTATCTATCTCATAGGGCTATGGACAGGATTTTGGAAATGCTATCAGAATGTCCCCATTGAGAGCTGTCCTGCCTTCCTGACTGGTTTCTCCTCCCCAGCCACTACCTCGGCCCTCCGCCCGCCTCAGCCCCTTTTGGGCCTCATTGGGGTTGTTCCAGGGCTCAGCGCTATTTGGGCCCATCTTTCCTTTCCCTGGACAGCCTTCTCCTCCTCTGCAGCCTTAGCTGTTCGCACTCCCTCCGAAACGCTTTTGCGCTACTGGTGCTCCCTCTACCCACCATTCATCGCTGCCTTGTGCCCGCCTGCGCCCAGCGGCCAGTCCAGCGCTGCAGGCCCTGAGCCCGAGGCGCTAGGTTACCCCCGCGCTCCAATCAGCGTGTGGGCGTGGCCCAGATCACGTCAGGTCATTTGGGTTTTGTTCCGTCACTCATTAGGACTCAGCCAATCAGCGCCGCCAGCGATGCGCTGGGCAACGCCAGAGTAGCAACCACCAGCCCTCAACAGGCTGGAACCCGGTTGGTTGCCCACGGCCTGGCATTCCTGAGAAGAGGGGCAGGCAGCTACCCTGGCCCCCAGAACGAGCCGGACAAGGGCACTGCTTCTAACCGCACGCTGATCGGCGGTGGAGGGCAGCGGTATGGTCAGAGAAAAAGGGACGCTAGGGTGGAATAGGGTTGGGGGTGGGGAGGTGGTGGGGAGGGGGAGGGGTGCAGGGAGGGGAGGGTGGTAGTGGATGGAGGTACAGGTAAGGATGGTGGCATCCCAGGCCCTCCTGGACTCCTACAAGGGAAGGAAAGTGATGCAGAGACCCAGAGCTCCAAAGCAGGGGTCTGGCAGCTGAGTTCTCCAGCCAAAGCATACCTACCCATAGACACACCGGCCCAGTTGTGGCCTTACTTGCCACAAGAAAGTAAGAGAATACCTCCTTATGCCCCAACTGTGATACCAACTGCTGGGCCATGCTTGGGATCAGAAAATCAGTGGTCTGAAATTCAGGAATCCTGAAACAGTCCCACCTGTGATTCCCTATTTGGCGAGGAGGACAAACAGCAGTATAGAACATTCAGTAGGAACACAGCAGTGCACCAGGGGGTGTAGAGACGGAGATGAAAAAAAGTCCCTGCCATTAGTGTATGCCAATGCCCCTGGAGCACGCTGTGATGGGACCCTAGTTTTGGGTCTAATGGCAGCAGGGGGTGGTTGCAGAGGATTTCAAGGACAACGGGTATCTCCTTGCAAGGCACCTGCTCAAGTGAGGCAATGACACAGTCCTCCAGCAATGGAACACCAGCCCCCAGACACCAGAAAGCAGACTACTTTCACTAGAAGGGGCTGCTCAGAGGGACTGGGGGCTTCCTGATGGTCAGCTTCAACTGAGACCAACCAGACATCCCAGTTCCAGGTTTCAGGGCCCTGCTTCTCCAACCACTGCCCTACCTTTCACACGAGGAACATGGAGAGGCTGGGGATTCAAATGACATTGAGATTCTGGAACATACGCAATTAAATGTGTTTGATTTGTAGCACTGTCAGCCCTGCAGATACAGGAAATAAGGGAATCTTTAAGGCTGTCATTGAAGTTCCCTGCTTGCCATGCTGTGACTTAAGCAGAGGGGAAAGG